TCGGACGGAGCCAGCGTGGCGCTGCTGGTCAAACCCAGCACCTCCCCAAGAAAAAAGCAAACACTCCACCATGATCAACGCCGTCGCTCCTGACATCGGCCCTCCGAGGCGGCATGGCCCCGCAATCGCAGCAGCCCAGGCCGCGAACACCAAGGGCTTCCGAGAACAAGATGGCGACAGCCTCTCCCTTCTCGCAGCGATCGGAGCAGGCGCAGCCCGCTCGGGCGGCCGTAGTCTGGGCGGAAACTTATCCGCCCAGCGCGCAACTTCTCCCCGCGCCGGGCCATGACCCCCTTCGGGAACTCGCCGACCACCCAGCCCGCAGGGCTCGTATCCAGCCTGGGCGGCGCTAGCAGCGCATCCAGCGAGCAACGGGCCCAGTCGCAAGATGCGAGCGCGCGCTGGCGGTGGGTCTCGAGCGTGGCTGTGGCGCCCTCCACAACGTCGAGCGCCTTCCTGACTCGGGCCTTGCCCGGGGTCGCGAAACGCTGCCGGCAGCTGGCAGCGGCGGCGGGCTCCTCCACGACGCTGCCGTCCGCGCTCTGGCTCTCTGCCACGTCCGCGTCGGCCTCTCGGCCTCTGGCGCCCGCGGTGACAGCCGGAGCCACGCGGCGATCCGCGCCCGGGAATCTCTCCGCCGCTGCCACATGCGGAACCGTCGCCGACCTCGGGGCCGCAAGCTCAACGGAAAACCCACGACTGCGATCCAGCCCCGCGCCTTCCGAGTCGGCGGCGCCTCCGCCGCCTCTCGCCGCTATGCCGCGGCGCTCAGCGCCCGCGCGCGACGCCTGCCTGGCTTGCGTGGCGCCGTGGACAGGGGCGTCGCAGACCTGCCCAGCGCCCGCTGCCGCCCGCCCCCACGCCGCGCTGGCGACCGCGACCGCCAAGGGGGCGCGGACAAGGCTGGGATCAACCTGGGGCGAAAGCGTTGTTGAGCCAAGATGGGATGCGATGGTCTTGCTGCTGTTGCGCCCAAGATCAAGTCTCCGCCTTCCTTCATCTCCAGAACTGACCTCGCTTGGAACCCATCGAACAACGAACCTGCTATCTCTAGCTAGGCGCGAGAATTCGAGCAGCCGACGGACCTGAATGAGAAGTCGAAGGGCCCCTGAACCTGAAGCGGCAAAAACAGAGCACGACTGAGAGGTTGTCACCATGAAATAGGACGCGGCATTCTTCTACTGGCTGACTGCGCGCCGCACGTGACGCAGCCTTCACGAGCGCCCGTGCCTCAAGTCTAAGGGTATCGTCCTCAAACGCCCATCGGTCCGCCATCACCGTGGTCCAATGGGAGTCACGCAAAAACTGGCTGGACACCTCGGGGAAGTCTGGGTCTGCATCCCGACGCTCGCTGCCCAGCACTTGCCGCAGCTGGGCGTCGAGTTGGCGCGGCGCCCCGCCAGCGCCCCTGACCACCTGGCCCGTCTCGCTGTCCAGCGAGAACCCAGCGCGCTCGAAGGCATGCTGGCGCTCGTGCGTCCAATCCGGGCCCTCACCGTGCTGCACCTGCTCGCGTAGACCAGGCGCGGCATCGACCCGCGTCACCACGCCACGTGGATGCGCGCCTCGCCGATGGGCTCGAGCGCGAGCTTGGCCGAGCTCCGCCGCGAGGCTAGCTCACAGCCGGCGCCACAGGCCACCGCCGCCGCTGCCGCTGCACTGGCGCCGACCAACGCCACGGGCAGCTCGACAGCGGCCGCGAGCCCCTCCCTGGCCACCCGCAGCGGCTGCGGGCTGGCCTTCTCTGGCGCCAGCGGCGCCGGGCAATGGAAATCGGGCGCTGGGCTGGCCGCGGTGGTCCCCGTCACCGTCGCCGACGCCGAGCTGTCCTCCAGCTCGTGTCCAGGGTCGTCCCGCGGCCAGTCAGCGCCTTCAGGAGCCAGCGCGGGCCCGATCACGACGTAGGCATTGAAACCTACCCAGAAGGTCACCAGGGCCCCGAGAGCGCTGGCAGGGCACTGCGACTGCATACCCGCTGACAGCTTGAGCCCAAGCAGCGTCGGGATAGGGCTGCTTTTGTGCGGCAACCAAACAAAGCAACCATAACAAATTCGTGCAACGCACATTCATTAATTGTCAAACGGTGTTTGAAGGATTTTAGGATTTTGTTTCGTTTCGGCTTACGGACGGCCCGAGACGGCCCAAGATCGCCCCAAAAAGCCTCCAGGATGGTTCCAAAACGGCCCACGAAGCCCCCCAAACGGGTCCTGCAGGGCCCAAGACGGCCCAAGGGGCCTCCACTACACCCAAGAGAGCCACCAAGACGGCCCCGGAGCACCCCAACAGGGCCCCAAGTCCGCCCAGAGAGGCCCCCAAGACGGCTTCCGACGGGCCAGGAGCCCACCAAGACGGCCAAAGGGGCCCCCAAGAAGCCCCCGAAAAGCTCCCGAAGGCCCCCAAGAGGCCTCCATGAGGGCCCTCAAGATGCCTCCAAGAGGCCCCGAGGAAATCCCCGGAGTCTCCCAAGATGCCCCCTCCTCCTCCTCCTCCTCCTCCTCCTCCTCCTCCACCACCTCCTCCTCCTCCTCCTCCTCCTCCTCCTCCTCCACCTCCACCTCCTCCTCCGCCTCCTCCTGATCTTCCCCGCCATCCTCCCCCAAGTATTCCCCGAAGGGTTTCCACAACGGCTGGGGGAGCACATGGTCCGATGGGTTGGCAGAGCTCTTGCCACAACGCTCGGCCACATGGGCGATTCTAGAAGGCAGGGGGCGGCGGTGATTCGCCGTAGGCGTCTTCGATCGCGCTTTCTCGTGGGACTTCCTCGCATTGGTTGAAACGCCGCGTCCTCGGCACTCAGGACTCAGGAATCACGCTCTCGCTCTGAATTCCCTCACGACTTACTTGGGAATCGCGCTATTGCTCGAATCTTCCTCAAGATGTATGCAAAACTGACGCTTACCCTTCCGCTCAACCCAGCCGTCAGGGCCAGCCTGCTCGACTCGCCAATTAGGGTCCGCCCGCCCAACCCGCCCGTCTGGTTATGCCGCTTGTTGTCCTGTTCCTAACGCCCTCTCCTGCTTATCATTCTCGTGCTCAATCCTTCTCCCTCCCCCGTGTCCCTACTCTCTTCCCTTCTTTCCCTTATGTTGCGAACTGCGCCAACTACACGTGGCATGCAAGGAAGATATGTTCCCAAAGGATGTACGATCGAAGACGAAGACTGCGGGTATCGATGGTTTGGGATATACGTGTTGAGTGGCACGCGAGCACATAAGAGCTTACAACCTCACAATGATCGTTATTGTCGTCCTCGCCCACGACCCACCCCGCGACCCCCCCGCGACCCACCCCGCGAACGACCCCGCGACCCACCCGAGATCTACCCGAGACCCACCCAGATTGCTTTGACAGAAATTCGCCGCCTGCGGCAGGCTCGTTGTACAATGGGCCAGAAATCCATGCCCTCACAGCCTCGCAAACTGCCGACGACCCCGCCGCCCCCTCACTCTGATCCGCAACTGCGGGGGCGATGCGATTCCCCTAACAACGCTTGCACTAAAGGATAAGCTACTCCAGATTTCGTAATAAAAGGGAGGGGGTCTCAACCCTCCCAGACGAGAAGTTTTAGACCCTCCCAGACCATCCATGAAAGGGCGGCCCTTTGCCCAGACCCCCCCGAACCTTCCAAGACAGCTCAAATCAGACCCCACCCATGTGACTTGGTAGTCCCCAAACGTGGTGGTGACAACACCTGGCGGTGAGTCTCGGGCGATTTGGTGTCACCACCCGGTTTGGGGACTCGTGCGGTTTTCCGAGGATGTCCCGAACGTTGGTGGGTCCAGGAGTCACAAAACCCGGCGGTGACCCCGCGTCCCCAAACCCAGCGGTGACCTTTTTGGGGATTCCAGGTCGCCACCTGGTATCTCACCACCCGGTTTGGGGGGTCCCAAGTGACCCCCCCGACTTTATTATGGAATCCGGAATGGTGTGCTACCTACGGCATTTGGACGGCTCCGCCGAGGCTTCGCCCGGTGCCGGGCTGGCGGCTGGTCGCGGTCGCCTCGCGGGCACCCCGTGCGTTGGCTGGGTAGTCGAAGCCAATCTGGCGCCAATCTGGCAGGCCCAATCTGGCAAACGGGGGCAATCTGGCGAGGGAGCCAACGCGAATCCAGCCTGGCGAATAACCCAAATCATCCAGTGTGGCCAGGCCAGATTGGCCCTTGGGGCCCAATCCAATCTGACGTCCATTTCCTGTGTTTGTTCCGGTTTCGTGCGTGGCTCTTTCGCCAAATGATCCAGGATGCTCCTCGAGGGTCCTCGCCGAAGGAAAAATGCACACGTCCGAGCGATGCCAAGGCGTTGGTCGCGGGCGCCTGGCGGGCCCCCCCGAGCGTCTGGCGGGTCCGCCAGGGTCTCGCCCGTCGTGGGCGCCCCCCGTGCGCCAGGTGCGGCCGCTGGGGCTCCGCCAGGCGCACGCCCGTGGCCGCCTCGTGGGCATCCCGTGGGCGGCCGCATATCGCACGCCATATGGCGCACACGTAGCTACATCACGCAGCCTATACCACGTAGCTTACACCCAACAGGTTTCACGGCGGAACTTTTGCACCCAATAGGTTTCACAGCGGAACTTTTGCACCCCGTGCGTTGGTCGTGGGCGCCTCGCGGGCCCCCCCGTGCGTCGGGTGGGTCCGCCAGGGTGTCGCCCGGCGCGCGCCCGTCGTGGGCGCCGCCCCCCGTGCGCCAGGTGCGGCCGCTGGGGCTCCGCCAGGCGCACGCCCGTGGCCGCCTCGTGGGCATCCCGTGGGCGGCCGCACATCGCACGCCATGTGGCGTACAGTGAGGGTCTTGACCTAAGGAACCCTAAATAAGGAACGAGGCACCGATTTTCCATAAGTTAAGCTTCGATCTCCCATCGAAAACCTAAGGAAAGCCTGAGGCAAGCTGCGAAACACTTAAGGAACGCGGAGCCCCTCCCCAACGAAAAGGGTTGCTTCTTCAGGGCCCCGACTGTACACGTAGCTACATCACGTAGCCTATACCACGTGGCTTACACCCAATAGGTTTCACAGCGGAGCTTCTGCACCGCACGGCTCAACCCGCACGGCGTACGACGCATAGCTCTTGCCTCTTACCCGCCAGAGAGCTTGCACCACGTGCCATAGCTTTCCGTCAACATTTGCAGGACATTGGTTGCACAACATTGGCGGCACAACATACCTTGCACATCCACAGTGCATCAACTAGCTGCGTGGGAGCAACACTGGCTCGGAAATATGCCTGTGTGTGAGTAGATCGATCAACCAGCGGGAGAGAGACAGAGAGAGGGAGATGGAAATTGGGCGAGAAAGACAGGGAGACAAAGAGACAGCCAAACAGAGACAGATCCTGAGGGGGATCGTCCACTTTGAGGCGTGGGGGCTCTGCGGGTGGGCACTGGACAGCGGCAGCACGATCACCGACACCCTTTTCTCTCGCAGCTCCGGCCATGGCCGCGCTAGACATACTGCTGGGCGCCATCAGCAACCGCCTGGTGACGAGGCAAGGCAAAGCACGGGCCGCCTCCCGACACTGCGAATCCGCCACCGTGCCCCCCTGGGCACGCTGACGCGTGGAAGAAGTCCAAGGTCTGTCTGGTGCGGTTGTCGGAGCTCTGACAGGGGGCCGTTCCTCCCTCTGCCCACGGACTCCTGGGCGGATCCTCCCCCCCACTCGGCGAGGTCACTTCCACCGCGCCCGCTCGAAGATGGTGCGGTTCCTGCATGGCAGCTAGTGCCCAATCCCCCGTTCCACGCGTGCCCGGTCGAGGATGGTGCACGTCCCGCATGGCAGCTACCACTCGTGCCCGCCCGAAGATGGTGCACTTCCCGCACGGCAGCTGATGCCTGAACCCCCATTCCATGCGCGCCCGCTCAAGGATTGTGCACTTCCCGCACGGTAGCTAATGCCAGAACCCTTCTTTCATGCGCGCCCGCTCAAAGATAGTGTATTTCCCGCATGGCTGCTAAATCCGAGGCCCCTCATCCCACGCGTTCCCGCTCAAGGATCCTGCACTTCCCGCTTTCCAGACGCTGCTCCCGAGCGCTCCAGGGCCTCCCAATCAACGATCCCTCGTTGAAAACAATGGATCTGCGTCCCGAGCTTCCAAGACGGCCCGTGCAGGTAACCCAGGACACCGAGATGCGCCAAAAGGCCTCGAAGACGGCCCAAGATGGGCCCAAGGCGGCCGAACACTGGCTCAAGACGGCCCAAGATACCTCCAAGAGGGCCCCAAATGGCCACAAGAGGACCTCCAGAGGGTCCGAAGAAGCCACAATCATGCATTCTCGCCTTTTCCGGCTGCCGTCAGCTCGAGACGGCCCAAGAGGACTTTACGATGGCCAAAAAAACATCCCGAACGGCCCCACGATGGCCCAAAAGGACCTCCCGTGGGACCCAAGACGGCCTTAGAAGACCTGCCTTTCGACGGCCCATGACGGCGCCAAGACGGCCCCCAGGCACCCATCGTACTGCCAAGACAGCCCCAAGATTGCCCAAGAGAGCCCCAAGCAGGCGTAAGAGGGCACCAAAGCAGCCCAAGAGCGCCCCAGCCCCACAGGAGGCCAAGACGGCCCCAAGGCGGCCCAAACGATCATCATCATCATCATCATCATCATCATCATCATCATCATCATCATCATCATCATCATCATCATCATCATCATCATCATCATCATCATCATCATCATCATCATCATCATCATCATCATCATCATCATCATCATCATCATCATCATCATCATCTTCATCTTCATCTTCATCTTCATCTTCATCTTCATCAGCAGCAGCAGCAACATCATCATCTTCCTTCCTTCCTTCCTTCCTTCATTCCTCGCTTCCTTCCTTCCTTCCATCCATCCATCATCCATCCCTCCTCATCCTCCTCCATTCCTCTTCCTTACAAATACCTCATCCCTGTCGCACGCCGAGGCCAGTCGAAAGGGCGGGCTGGACGTTTCGCATGGGACTTCTCACCATTTATGATCCTGAAGCTGGGAACTTGCAACAGGTTCCAGGTTCACGGATGAAGGACGGGTCAATTTCAAAATGAAGCTCTTGCCTTAGCGCCGTGCAAATTTGTCTTCAAAAATTTGCAAGGGTTTCACGGATGGAGGGCGGTCCGTTTCAAAATGTGGCAATCGCCTTGGCGCCGCACGCATTCGCCTTAAATATTTGCAAGCAATGCACGGATGGAGGGCAGTCCGTTCTCAAAATGTGGCAATCGCCTTTGCGCCGCGCACTTCGGTTTCAACATTTGCAAGTGTTTCACGGATGGAGGGCGGTCCGTTTCCAAAATGCGGATCTCGCCTCAGCCCCGCGCATACTCGTCTTGCGAGTTTGCCGCAACGTCAAGGATTACCATGATGAGCGTCCCAGACATGGTGTTTCGGCACGATGTCGGAATGTCAGGGCGCAAAAAGTCATGTTGAATCGCGGTGTTGAAGTCCCAGGAATGGTGTTCTGGTATGATTCAGGCTCGTCAAGACGCAACGTTGATTTGCAGCGTTGAAGTCCCAGGAATGGCGCTCCGGCAAAGTTCTGCATTTTCAACAGATTGTCTTCCAACGTGGCATTTCCCTCACTAAAATGACTCCTTGTCGGGCCTGTGAAGAGGTAACTTGGAGGGGGGGTTATAACAATATCGTTGAGATGTCGTTGATGAGTCTTGGGTTTACACTGGTCCTCCTCCTCATCCTCCTGATCATCATCATCACCAACGTCATGGCCATCACAGTCGTTTTCGTCGTCGTCATCAGCAGCAGCATCACCAACCACATCAACATCATCCTCATCATCAGCAGCATCAACATCGTCATCATCATCATCCTCATCATCAGCATCAACATCAACATCAACATCAGCATCATCATCAGTATCATCATCAGCATCATTGGCGTCGTCCTCCTCCTTCTCCCCATCATCATCAACAGCGTCAACGTCATCATCATGAACACCAGCAGCATCAGCATGAGCATGAGCATGAGCATCCGCATCATGCCAGCAGCATCATCATCCTCGACATCATCATCATGAGCATCATGAGCATCAACAACACCATCACAATCTTCACCATCACCATCATCATAACCATCACCATCACCATCACCATCACCATCATCATCATCAGCAGCAGAAGCATCATCATCATCATCATCATCATCATCATCATCATCATCATCATCATCGCCATAATCCCCATCATCCTCATATACTCATCATGCTCATAATCCTTATCACGGCTGTCCCATGCCTGGAGACACGGGGTGTCATACGTGACGGCCTCCCGGGCCCCATCGACCAGTCGCCACCCAAAAAGCTGGGCTGGCACGGTGGCGGGACTTGCCGCAGGCAGCTGGACAAAAGCAGACATCCAACCCGAACGCTTCGACGAATGAAAACCAAACCGACGACGATGTGTAAATTGACGGCCGTCCACCAACCGCGGGAAACATCGTGCTGGCTCCGCTTTGCCTTCCCGCGGCTCGAAGGACTCTAGACAGCTCTTGCGCTGCTCCCAGTGGCGGCTGGGTGTCTCTGGAAACAGGGGGAGGGTAGGGAGAGAAAGAGGGATATATATATAGAGAGAGAGAGAGAGAGAGAACAACAACAGGGAGAGAGGGCCCTGAGAGAGAGAGAGAGGCAGAGAGAGAGGGAGAAAGAGAAAGAAAGAAAAAACAAGAGAACCGTGACACCCTTGCCACACAATCCAACTCCTGACCCTTACGATTTCCACTGGTCCTTCTTGTTCTTCTTCTTCTTCTACTACTACTACTACTGCTACTACTGCTGCTGCTACTGCTACTACTACTACTACTGCTACTGCTACTTCTGCTGCTACTACTGCTACTACTACTACTACTACTACTACGACTATGATTATGACTACTACTACTACTATGATTATTACTACTACTACTACTACTATTACTACTACGGCTGCTACTACTTCTACGACTACGACTACGACTACGACTACTACTACTACTACTACTACTACTACTACTACTACTGCTGCTGCTACTACTACTACTACTGCTACCACTACTACTACTACCTACTACTACTACTACTACTACTACTACTACTACTACTACTACTACTACTACTACTACGGCTACTACGGCTACTACGACTACTACGACTATACTACTACTACTACTACTACTACTACTACTACTACTACTACTACTACTACTACTACTACTACTACTACTACTACGACTACGCCTACACCGATTATTACTGATACGACGCCGGCTACGACAACGACATTACTCTTCTACTACTGCTACTGCTACTACTACTACTACTACTACTACTACTACTTCTGTTTCTACTTCAAATAATACTCCAGTTTCTCCTACTCCTACTCCTACTCCTACTACTACTGCTTCTACCGCTACTACTTCCACTACTGCTACACTACTACTAACAATACTACGGATACTACCACTACGACTGCACTGGCTATTACCAAAACAGAGGTTATTACCAGTACTGCTACAAGGGCGACTGCTACTACTAGCACTGCAACTACGAAGACGATTTCAATCACGCCTACGACTACTACCAATGCCGACGACTACTACTACTACTACTACTACTACTACTACTACTACTACTACTACTACTACTACTACTACTACGACCACTACCACCACTACTACCACTACTACCACTACGACTACAAATAATAAGACTAATAATAATACTGCTACGCGGAGTACAAGTGAGAATGCGATCATAACAATAATTCTGAAACCTGCTCGCAGGCAGTCCACCAGTCTTACTACTGCGAATACGGCGACTACGACTACGACTACGAAAACAACTCATCTCACGAATGGAACTACAGCTACGACTAAAACGAACATGACGTTCTCTACGAATGCCGATACGTATACTAGCCTACCACTGATTTGTGGGTCAAACTAGCACGATACGATCATTGCTAACCATATTACGAATACGTGTGCTGATACGAATCTTGGCACCTAGAGTGAAACTACTTCTACGACGAATGCTCACAACCATACGTACCCATGCCACGTGAGAGGCCGCGACGCCCGACCGATCCCGGATCCAACAACCCAGGGGGGGCTAAAACAGGGCTAGAATCGGGATAAATCGCTCCAGAGCGTTCCGGAGCGCTCTCAGAGCGTTCCGGAACGCTCTGGAGCGGCCGCGGCGCCCAATACATCCTCCAAACCCGCCGATTCTCAGAGATTTCGAGTTACCCCGATCCGATTTGTATCCCGATCTTCGCGTCGTTTTAGGGGCAGCG